TCAATAGTTCAAGTTCATCATTTGTCATATTTGGTACATGTAATTTTTGTGAAGTAGATTGTGTCATTCTTTTTTTTAGTTTGATCGAACTCTTTAGACAAAAGCGATGACAAATATAGAAAAAGAATAGAAAGAAATAAAACAAAATGATCGAACATGACAATATATTTAGATAGATGAATAAAACGGACGTTGAAGATGAGTAAATGACATCATCAATACACCTACATAACAATTGAATAAATAATTCAACTTCGGCAGGTTTTTACCTTTCTTTTTTCGCTTACTTTCAGCTGACAAAATCAATTAAATTTATGGACAATGGTATACTTATCTATAGACTATACAAATTTGCCCTTTGAAAGTTTCTTTTTTTGTTCTTTTATAAATTCTCATATATCACTAACACTCTTTTCTTTAAGACATATATATTGATATTCTTTTGTGTCTTATAAGATACAAAAACACTATACAATTAAATAAATTATAAGTAAATACACAATAGTTGTCTATGTTTAAGGTCGTCAGTTCAAAAGAATAATGACAGATATATTACTAATGAGAAAAGTGATTTATAAATCTGTCGTGTATATAAACAAAATAAGCACCTGAAAAAAACAAACATGAAGGGTAATATAATCTATCTAGATTTTAATCGACATATAAATCTATTTGAAACATCTTTACCGTAATGTGTTGGTGACGAATATAACGAAGAAGCGCATAGAAAAAAAAAGAAGAGAAAAAAGCTTACTTGCTTTCACATTTTTTTTCTCTTGAGTCTTTTTTTTCTCTGCTTTTTACCTTCAAACATCGCATTGCATTGCAATCCTTTTCTCTTTTTCTCACCTGTGACGGTCGAGCTAGCGCACGTATCATGGCAATTCTTGACGCATTGTTCGTTCTCGCGTATGTCATGTAAATCAAACAAAAAAAACACATAGCAAAAGAAATATTTTATATAAATAGATAGGATTCTTTAGGAAGCAAAAGAAGAAAAAAAAACCGAGAGAAATGTTCATTTTATCCTTCCATTATTTCTTCCGGTATTGATTATAAAAACGGAAAGAAAAAATTAATTAATCGATCACTAGGGAAATATACTATCGATCGTTAGAAATAATTCCAAGGTTAATGTTATACATTACTATTTTGAACTTGATAGCAGCAGTAACAGGAATAAAAAATATTGAGAACAATTGTTCATTATACAAATTATAACGATTGAAAATCTTCTGTGTGTTATTTCTTTTCATATATATATATCAATATTTGTTTAGACATTTGTTAACATACCATTCATTTTAAGTATATAAAGAAATAAATATGATCGGAGAATAAAGAAAAAAATACTCGAGGTATTATGTATAATCTTTAAGTAATAGAATCAAAATGAGTTTTTTTTCTGTTTCATTAGATCTTATCAACCTTTGCTAGATTATTCTTTATTTAAAACATCTATACAATAAAAAAAAGTAAAATAAAAATTAAATTTTTTGTCCATATGGGCGTAACCAATAAATAATACCAATGAGATTCGCAATGACTATTAACGAATGAATAGGAAATTCAAACCCACAATCAGATGGTATACCAGTTTTAGATTTTTCAGGTAATGTAATACCAATACCACCTTGATGAGTGGCTCGATCAAGTTGTAAATGATATTTTTTAACAAATTGTCGTGCACGAAATGTTCGAAATACACATGCAACCGAACGACGAAGACCACTGAAAGTAATTAGAAATAAATTAGAACTAGAGTAATAAATCATCATTACTTTAAACAAGCAAGTAATATAACACTTTCGAAGGTTAAATGAATTCCAGCTAATTGTGTCTTTGTTAAACCAACAATTGATAATGAACTGTAAAGAATCATACCAAGAAAGAGACCCTGAAATATGAAAAAAATCTGCATATTAATCGATTTGTATATGCGTAACGAATTGATGTACTTTATTTTAAGTTCATCCAGTAAATTCATACCAGCAAGAAAAAGTTTTAGCATTTTCTACTTAACTCAAAACTCCTCTTTTAGAGTGATAATCATTTGACTGAGTTTATTAATACAGGATTGAATCTTATTACCTTTAAAAATCCGATTATATCATATACAAGACAATGTGTACGATGTTGACAACATTGTTCAAGTGCTAATATTTCTGTTTGATGTTCGTTTGAAATATTTGTGTCTGATTTTTTGATTGAATCATTTTTACGAATCGATTCAAACATTTCTATATAATTAAATCATTTTTTTTTTCAAATAAATAATATTATTTTATTTCTTACTAAATAATTCTTGATTAATTTCTTCTACACATTCACCTTGTAAACCGTGTCCAGCACCATCACATTTAATAAGACGACAACCAAGTACCTATAATATTAAATTAAAAGAAAAATATTTTTAATTAATTCTAAGTTAAACAAAACTTACACGTTGTAACATATACGAATTTGCTTCTCGTACAAGTCGATCTTCAGTACCAACCATAATTAAACATTCAAATGGTGAATAACGAATTTTAAGTAAATCTGCATAACTTATATAATGTCTAACAACAGCAGCTAAATGACCTATAAGTCCACTAAGTGATGGTGGAATACGTTTTCGAAATCGTTCAATATGATAATTATAAAACGACTAAAAAAGACAGACGAATGATTTTAAAATAAAAATCGTTTTTTTTCTTCTAACTTTTCGTTTTTCTGGATCGGCAAGTGTTTTTTTACTATAAAGCATTGCCATAACATTTTCTATTACAGCATTTTCATCACGTAATAACATTGATTGTAAAATATGATTAATACCAGCAAATGGAGCTTGTCCAGAAAGACCACCAGCATGTGTTGCTAATAATGTTAAAGAAAGAATTCGTTTTGGTGCTAATAATGCAAATTCAAGTGCAATCATTCCACCCATTGATATACCAACAACATGACATTGTTTCCATTGTAGATGATCAATAAGTGCAAGTGCATCTTTTGCCATTTGACTTGTAGTATAATATGGAAATAATGGAGCAGATGAACGACCACATCCACGATTATCATATGTTACACACTAATGAAGAAGAAGAATATATAGAAATAAATTTTTAACTAAATTTTACTGCATACTTGATAATCAGATTTCGGAGCAAAAAATTCAATCTAAAAGAAAAATTTTAAATACAGTACTGAATAATTTCATATTTTACCTGACGGGACCAGGCAGCACCTTCAGTTAATAAACCCATAATAAGTAATATTTTATTTTCACCTGAGCCATGTATTTCATAGTATAATTGTAAATTTTGATTAACCGCTGATAAGTTTAAATGAGGCATCTTTTATTCAGATAATGGACTTTGATTTAGAGTGAGTAGATATATACATATACATATAAATGAACAAGCAATATTATTGGATAATATGAACGTCCATTGAAAATCTATCGAAAGTAGCGCTAAAACAAAAGATAATAATCGCAACTGTTTTTTTTCAATATTTAAGAAAACTTATGAAAAAAAATACCACTAAATTAAAGTATATTTACATTGTAATAAAAATCACATTAAATCAGTATATACTCTCATAATACTAAAGCAGAGTGAGGATGCTAGTCATTGAAGTAATTAATTGCTATTCATAAATTGAATAATTTCTTGACTACAAGAAGAGTTATATGAAATAAAAAGTCGTTTATTTATAGGGCTTACATGCAACCCAGAAAAATATAAAAGTGAACGATTGATTCCCTCCGAATTTATTTCTCTTGCGTATTTTATTTTCAACAAGAACAAATACTCTTGTATAGATAAATTGTAAAGTATTCGCATCATATACGACATCGAATAGCCAGACCATAAGTATGTTGACGATTAACTTAAAATGACTCTTTTGTGTCTCACAATAGAAACTAGAGCAAGAAATCTGCAAGACTTGCTATTTATACACAATTCTTATGCATGATAATATTATCAATCCTTTGTGTTCATTTGTTTATTTAATATAAAATGGTTTTTGTCAATTTCAACGATTGTTATATGGAAAACAATTTGGTAATTCGTAAACATTTTTTCTTTCTTGCGTTCTCTCTCTCATGATATTTGATGAATAGTCGAAACATAATTTAATCAAAAGAAACTATAACATGCAAAGATAAATGCTATTTTCTTTTTCTCTTTCCATTCAATGATTCTAGTTTTAATTTTAAGAAAACAATTATATCAACTTAAGTAATATTCACTTCGCTTGTAACTACGTATTTTTTGTTATTGTTGTCCTACTCGTTTTGCATACAGTATAATCATGAAAGTACGTTGTTCGTCATGTGCTCAACAAATAATATATGGCACTTATTTTTGCCATGATTAAATATTAAACTAAAGAACTGAAAAAAAAAGAAAATAGTGATAGAAGTTGTTTACAGTTTTAAGGAGAACGTTTAGCGCATGAAGTAGTGAAACATGTTTTGGATATTTTTGTTTGTACTGATATTTTCTTCTTGTGATTGTATTCTTATTGGTAAAATAGAGAATAGTATAGTGATTGGTAACGCATACAAATCATTGTGGAATATAACTGAAAATCAATGTATTTGTAAAATGATAAAATCAAAAGACATAATATTTGCACTAAATTATTTTTCAATAAATCAAACTTGCCAATTATTTTATTCAAATATTAGTTCGATCTTAATTGAATTTAATTTCAATTCTACATTGATATTTATTAATCAATCAATAATCTCAATGAAATATAGTAAGTTTATTATAAATCCTATAAATTTATTATAGTTTTGTTTTGAACAATTGTAATATAGATATAACTATAATTGAATATTGTAGAAAAGAGAGGATTCGTCAGCTATTTGAACTGATATAAATTAATCGCAATGTATTAATAACTAAACATATTGCTAGTAGAAGAAGATATGCCCAGTTTTATACAAATCTTTGTCTGATCTTTCGATCTCTTTTTAATCTCATTCTTTCAATATAGATCAGATCATGTCTACATCACCAACATCAACATCGTCATCAACCACTACAACAGGATTACCAGGTCAGTAATATACTAGTTGATATGTAGTTTGCTAAACAATCCATCTTTCAGATAGCTATGTCTAGAAGTTTTGATTATATCTGTCGAATAGTCTTTATTTAGATAGATAGTGTCAGAGAGCACATTTTATGACCATCTCGTGGGTGTATGGAATGGATGGAATACCCATGCGCACACCCATTCCCTCAAGATGCAACAACTCCATTAGACTTTAGATCTTCAGTAGAAAAAAAAATATTCTTGCTGTTTGATTCTGATAACACATTAAAAGCGCTTCAATGAAACAGACATTAAAACAAAAGTTGATTATTAGCTGAGTTACAGGCATATTTCACAGTCAAAAA